AACCCAGGTAAAGGCCCAGCAGCAAATGAAGATGTTTTTCCATGACTTTAGGTTCTTGTTTAGGGAAAGAACAGTAAATCCACAAGGAAATCATTCCCATGCTTTGGAAAAGCTCTCTTCAGGAGACATGCTCTGTGTGAATTTTGAAGCTGCACCCATTTGCCTTTGCTCAACTTCCATCCCACTGATAAAAGAAAAATTTTATCATAAAAATCACTCATCACGTCCCTAGACCTGGAAACTCTTCTGCAGCTGAACCACTGCAAGCATTTTGCTGTATCAGGGTCAAATGCACCTTTTTTTAACTTCAGAATAATTTTATAATTGATTTTAAATCAACACAAAACACAGCACTGCTGCTGCTATAAACTTACCAAAGCAAAATAACACTTACCAAAAAACACCCATGGCATTAAAGGGAATGGGTTATAACATAGATTATGCTGGTAGTCAGTCAATTATTTACTGGGTAGGGAATGTGGAAGCAGCAGAAAGAAAAAAAAAAAAAATATCGCTGAAAGAAAGAAATCACGTGAATAGATTTTTTGTGCCACGTGCTGACTTAATAAGGTTTGAAACAATTGTCATTTCAAATGTAAAGGCACAGCTTTTTTATTCAGATGGACTTCAAAATACAGAGTTTTAACACTCTAACATTCTGGTTAGCTTTGTATCAGAGGGCCAGAATATGACTTGTGTTTCACCGTGGGGTAATAAATTAGGAATAACAACTTTTGCATGATATAGTAACTATATTTTGCATTAAATTGAAAGGAGCATTAAGAGTGTGAGGTATTAGAAGATCCATTTCCTTCACAAACCTGTATGGTTTGTGGGAGAAAATAAAAGAAACACATTTTTTATTCGTTAGTACTTCATTACTTAACACATCATTGCAAAGTACATTGTTAGCCTGAAAAATAATTTGAAGATCATAGCAGAGCCTCACACTCAATCTTTCCTCTCATTTTCTTTCAAACTGTAAATGCTTTTTCAAGTGACAAGGCTTGCAGGATGTTGCAAGGAAAGGCTCTTTTTGCCTCGAGAGACAAAGCATGAGGAGATATTTCTAGGAAAAAAGATATGAAGGTATAGGAGTAAAACAGAATTTCTGCTGTTCACTTCGTAATGCCAAACAAATGCTCTTTGTTCACGTGTCACTTACAAGCAGTCAAAGGCATAGTGGGCACATGATGGGGAAATTTTGGTTGGCAAAGTGGCTGCTGCAGCCCTCACATACTTTACATGGCACAAAATTATGCACATTATTTCACTGTCCCATTATTCTTCAACTACATAATCTCAGAGGTGAGGGGAGTAGGGCATTTGCTGACACCACAGCAGCCTTAATTTGTTTGAAAGTAACCCTTTATCCTAGATACCCTAGATCCCATGAAAACTTCTCTCTCCCTCAAGTACTCTCCACTGATCTGGAATTCATGTAAAGTAAATTTTGCTGTGGACAAAGCTGCTAGGCACAACTCCGTCTTAGCACCCAGATCAAATATACCACAAATTATTTTCTGTGCTGCGTGCAGAAGAATGGCCTGACCCAAAGCTTTTTGAAAGGGAAGAGAAAGAATAGCATTGATTTCCAGCAGGCTCTGGCTTAGCCTGGAACCGAGTACCTTCTTGGTGCTCAGTAAATTAAAATTTGGATACCATGTCTCGCCATGGCAATGGCACAACAGAAAATGTGAGATACAAAAGTAAATAAATCCAAAGTGCTGCTTAAATCGCTGTTACACAATGTGTCAATTGTGTGCCCCCATGTTTTTAATGCTCGGATGATCCCTGGGCTAGCAGACAGGGCAGAGTTCACGGGCAGGCGCTCCCTTCCCTTCTGCAGGTCATTTATACAAATGAAAATGTTTCTCCACTGGCATTCATCATTTAAGGAACACATTATGGGGTTTTTGTAAAGCATGTTCCTCAAGGTGTTTTTCCTCAGGCTAGGATCTCTGAAAGCTGTTCTTCTTACGGCAAAAATTTTCTCTCACATTAGAATCAAATTCTCTAACGCGTTTCTCTGGCGTTCCTCCGCTCCTTATTGAAGCTACTGAATATGTGGTGCTGTGATTATTTTTTCTATTTGTCACCTTTTCCGTACTCAAATAACTTGAGCATTAAGAATTTCACTTTTCACCGGTACAAAATGACTCCTTCCCCCAGGCAGCCTGTTCCAATGCTTAATAATCCTTCCAGTGAAGAGTTTTTTAAACGTGATATCCTAAACCTCCTCTGGCCCAGCCTGAGGCCGTTCCCTCTCCTCCTGTCCCTGTTCCTGGGAGCAGAGCCCGACCCCCCCGGCTGTCCCCTCCTGGCAGGGACTTGTGCAGAGCCACAAGGGCCCCCTGAGCCTCCTTTTCTCCAGGCTGAGCCCCTTTCCCAGCTCCCTCAGCCGCTCCTGGGGCTCCAGCCCCTTCCCAGCTCCGTTCCCTTCTCTGGGCACGCTGCAGCCCCTCAATGTTCTTCTTGGAGTGAGGTGCTCAAAAGTGACCGCAGGATTTGTGTAGAATGGCTTTAAGCTGAAAAAGGGTAGATTTAACCTGGTTATTAGGAACAAATTGTTCCCTGGCAGGGTGGGCAGGCCCTGGCACAGGGTGCCCAGAGCAGCTGGGGCTGCCCCTGGATCCCTGGCAGTGCCCAAGGCCAGGCTGGACATTGGGGCTGGGAGCTCCTGGGACACTGGGAGCTGGCCCTGCCGTGGCTGGGGTGGGAATGGGTGGGCTTTGGGGTCCCTTCCAACCCAAACCATCCTGGGATTCTGTCATTGTAAGTCAAAATAACATAGAGAAATAAAGTAGAAATCTGGAGGAGAACCAGATTGAATGTAATGCATCAGAACATGAATTCTTTTTGTTTTGGATTGTGAGACTGTGTCTACACTTTATTTAAGAGATAAAATTTATAAAGAAAAAAAAAAAAAAAAAGTGGAAGACTTGTGCATCATAGCATGGTACCTATGCAGCAAATTCAACCATTGAGTCATAACTGCCCTTGAAATTTAAAGATGTCCTGTGTGCCATAATGAAAAATAGCATGGAGCTGCACTTCTTTCAGATCTCAGAACACATTTTTAAATATCAAACTTTACAGCAATCCGTCTCATTTCTAAGCACAGCAATAGTGAGACATGCTGTAAGTAATAATTCTTTCTGCATCTGTCACTATGAAGATTAAGAAGATTCATCTCATAAATATTGGATTAAAACCAAAGATAATTTTGTGCTGAGATATCTACAGTGGTGTATCAAAAACCTGACAAAACAAAACTGGTTAATTGCGAAGCAGATGTTTGTAGCGTAAGGAAAACTCTTCTTTTTTTATTATTTTTCTTCTTTCCCCATCTTTTTTCAACTTTTTTTTTTTTTTTTAATTTTACATACTTGTACTGTATAATAGACAACCTGATCTGAGGCTGGAACCAGTCCACACCTGGGTGCACAACAATAAACACATGTGGCAGTGTAAGGAAATTCTGATTTGGCAGGACCAGGCAATGTTTTGTTTAATTAAACTGTGTTAGGCAACATGGCAGTGCTACTGAAACCAGGAAAGGAACACAGCCAGGTAACTTCTGGCCTTCAGCAGCAATTTTATGTAAATAAACTGTTTTTGGGAGCTGTCTCCTCCAGGTTCCTCAGGGAATTACAGACACATGTCCCAGAGAAGGCTAGGCTTGATGTGTGAGAGGGATAAAATTAATCTGAGATGTCAAGAGCGTGCTGATCTCTTCACTTAAACCTGATTTCCAACCTGCTTCTGCCCTCTGTCTGAGTGTCCTCCCACCTCTTCTGAGAAAGTGTAAGCCAGGTGAGAGCCAGCTCAGCAATTCCCTTGTGGGAGGCTTGTCAGGTCTGTCCTGCAGCAGTGCCAAACATCAAAGCCTGGATTTTCTGATGGTGGGGGGAAAAAAAAAAATTAAAAAATAAAAGAGAAGCCAGTGTCAGCTGCCAGCATCATTACATCTCTGTTCAACAGCAGGGATTAAGACAGTGGCTGAAAATGAGTCACTAGGATCCAGAGCTGACTCTCCCTCGTGTTAATTTCAATGCTGGTTAATTACACGTGTCACATCAGCAGGGTAGGATTGCACCCCTGGAGAGCCTTTCCCCTGTGTGCTGTTGTGCTTCTCAGAGCACAGATGAAGAGGGGAAGCTGACTTGAGCCTCTACCCAAAAGATTTCCCTCCCACTCTCGGCCTATTATGACAAAACCAAAATCCTGACAGAAATACAGCCACTGAATCTAAACATCAGCCCACAGCTTTAGTTGCCCAGCAGTGGACACTTGCTAATTTTTACTTAAATCTTTCCTGGACAAAGGAAAATGAAGACACCTGACAACTGAAACACATCAGAGTAGTCAAATGGAGCATCAAGAGCATCCTCTTAGCACCTGCCTTGGAGATATTTATATGCACTGATAAGATCCCATCTCAGTCACCTCTAGACTAAACAGGCCCAGCTCTTTCCCTGTGTGCTTTTGTTGTTGTGACCCTTTGTGCTCTAATGATACCCTCCAAAAAATCGGATTGTTTCCATTATATAGTATACCCACCTGAGTGGGTGCCCAAAATCCACGTTGCAGGAGGATGGAGAAGATTTTGAGCCCTGCTGCCCACTTTCTGGTACATAGCGGAGGGCATGGAGTGAGGGAGGTGGGGGAGCTGCCAGCCAGGACTGTGCTCTGGTGGTAGAGCTGGAAAAGCAAGATGTGACTGGAACATCATGGAACTGGAGCCATGCAGAGGCAAGGCAGCACTTTTCTGGAACAGACATCATTGTTCTAGGACACCACAAATAAAACACAGCATCAGCACAGGTGGCAAAAGGTTGGTTCCTTCCTTCCTTCCTTCCTTCCTTCCTTCCTTCCTTCCTTCCTTCCTTCCTTCCTTCCGCCACTTCCTTCCTTCCTTCCGCCACTTCCTTCCTTCCTTCCGCCACTTCCTTCCGCCACTTCCTTCCGCCACTTCCTTCCGCCACTTCCTTCCTTCCTCCCTCCCGGCGAGCCTCCAGCCCCCTAACAAAACTTTGTGACGCTTCTATTGCTCTCACCGCTGTTACATTGCCATTATTTACATCATTACTATTACTATTACCATTTTACTTTCCCTTTCGGGCCTCGGCCGCCCCCTTGGCCGCCGGGAGCGCTTCCCGGGCCGGTGTCGCTTCCTTCCCGTGCCGGGGTCACGTCACAGCCGGCGCTGCCGGGCTCGTTCCGCCGCCGCTCCCAAAGGTGCGTGCGGGACCGGACACGGGGCGGCTGCGGCTCCTCGCCCTTCCACTCCTCGGGCTTTGCTTCCTCGGGCTTTGCTTCCTCGGGGATGCGGCTGCCCCCGGGATGCGCTGTCCCGGCTCCTTGTCCCTGCGGAGGGTCCGGTTACAGGTTTGCGAGTACCGGCACCAGCAGCGGGGCCGGCTCCTTGCGGGGGATAATGAGGATGCCTCTGGATACACTGTACCCTGCTGGGCTCGCCGGCGGGGCCTCGGTGGTTTACCTCAAAAGTTTCAACACTGACAGAAGTGTTTAAAAAACGTTTCTGATGCTATTTATATAAATAAATGTGTGTGTGTGTGTGTGTGTGTGTGTGTGTGTGTATATATATATATGTGTGTGTGTGTGTGTATATATATATATATGTGTGTGTGTGTGTGTATATATATGTATATGTATATATGTGTATATATAGGTATATGTATATATGTATATGTATATGTATGTATATATGTATATATATGTATAGATGTGTATATAGATGTATAGATGTATAGATGTGTATATGTGTAAATATGTATATATGTATATATATGTGTATATGTGTGTGTATATATGTATATGTATATATATGTGTATTTATGTGTATGTATGTGTATATGTGTATATATATTTATATATATGTATATATGTGTATATATATGTATATACATATATATGTGTTTGTGTATATATGTATATGTGTATATATGTATATATATGTGTATATATGTATGTATGTATGCACATGTATTTTTTTAAATATTTTCTTTTCATAAGTATCACATATGTTCATATATATGTATATATATTTTACACAAATACATATATCATGCATATAATATATGTATGTATACACAAATATGTATCATATATATATCATATATAAATCTCATATATATATCGTAAATATAATTATATTTATGCATATATGTAATCCATATTATTATCTATTTTATATATTTACATGCATATTTGTGTATGTGTATATGGATATATGTGTGTATATATAATGTTTAATATATATATGTATACACTTAAAAGGTACAAGCTGTACATATACACAGATGTATATGTAATATATACATATTATATAATATGCAAGATCATATGCATAATTAATATACAGTATCATTAGATACATTAAATATATTACATAAAAACAGTATAATTAATATAATTATCAATATAACACACCAAACCAATACTACATACTAATGATATATTAATAACACCTTCTATTGGGTCTATATAAATATTAATATGTATTAATGTCAGCAATATCTTAGTATTTTAACATTATTGATATATTTCTTAATATGGTAATTTTAGGATATGTAATGTTATATACATATTATATGTTATATACATAACATGTTAATATGATAATTTAGGATGTGTAGCATATGAGATATTAATATAACTTCATGAGATACGTGATTATAGATAAAATATGCTGTGTTCTATAGTATATATGACATATATATATATGGCATATATATTATAGTCTATTATGCTGTTATTACTATTATCTTTTAAGCTCCATTACAAACTTTACATTATGGAAGCAGTCTGTAGTTTTGTGTAAGTTCTGTATAGTATTCAGAACAGGCCATTACAGCAGGCTGTTGGATGTTATTTAAATTACCTGAAATTTGGAGTGTGGCCCTGGACCAGGTTCTAGGATGCACACTCTTGGGGGGATTACTGAACAAAATGTGTTTTCCATTGGGATGAAGGGATACTTCCCTCCTTTCTGGGATGGAATGCAGTGTGTTAGTGGCATTTTCCCCAGGTTACCCTACTTTGGAGGAGAAAATGCATGGAAGCATTGATTGATGCAGAACATCTCCCCACAGATACAGCTGGTACTGCTGCTGACATCTTTGAATTTTGAGCTCTTGCAAGAACCTGATTCTCCCTGAAAGGCTTCTAGAGTTATGTGCACGTGCAAAAAAAAAAAAGATTTTTGTGTATTTTGCAGGCCTCCTCTGACCATCTGGTGGGGTAAAAGCTGCGTGGGGAACTCCACAGCTGCAGGATTTGCTGTCCCCACTCACGTGGGCTCCTTGGTCTGTGCTTGTGGCACCTGTTTTCCTGTTCAGCATTTCCTTGGTAGGTAATCAAATGCAGACTGCCAGAAACTTCAGTTTCCTTGATGGCCATAGCTCATTTAGAATGAGGGATAACAGGAGATAGGTGTTTTAAATGCCATCAACATGCATTCTGATATTTGCACCTACTTGCTCCCCCATTCTCTTTCAGCTGTTGCTGAAAAGGTAAATACTTCCAGAAAAAAGCCATCCATGCTTGTCTACCCTTGATTGATGCTGAGACTAGGTTTATACAGATAGTTATCTCATCTAAATAATGGAAGGTTTTAGTGTCACAACTTACTTTTCCTACAGATGAGGATTTATTGGGTGATGGAAATTCTATTAACAGCGATCGAGTCCAACTTGGCTTTGCAAAACAGAGCGTGGGCCAAGTTGAGACTCAAAAGAGTAATTTGTTAAATCCTTAGCAGTGTGTGGTGTAGGGGAAGTTAAATTCTCAAGTTTGCAATCATCCTTCTTTGCATTTATGTATTCATTTTTTTCCCTCAAGCAAATCTTCATAATTGGTGGTAGTCTAGAGAGAGATCCAGAATAATTATATGGGAAGTTTCGTGCATTTTAGTGACTTTGGTATCATTTTACTTCAGTGAATAAATAGACAGACAGGACTCTGTTTTCTTTTGGTTTCTTATAAAAACATCCAGCTAGACTCATGCTAGCCCTGGAAAAAGCAGATTCTTTCTTCAGTAGCAGTACTGGTCAGTGAAGGTTTGCTGCTGGATTCTGAAGGTAGAATTGCTTGTAATTACATAAAATTGGTAAGAAGTTAAGGCACTGCTGGCTGATTTCTTTTTGTGGGGTCTCAAAGCTCAGGTAACTGATACTGTTTTATTCATTCCCCTTCAGCTGATGTTTTGGTAGGAGTTATCCTCAGGACAACAGAGCATGGAGAGATCAAAAAGGGGCTATATAGGACTGAGCTGGAGTTATTTTGTGCACGTATGTGTGTGGAAGGGAGAATGTGATCTATGGAAATCTGGGCTTCATTCTTTATGCTAGCCACAAAACAATTTGAGAGCATCTTCCTCATTTGGAAGGCTTGCTACAAAAGCTAGCAACGAAAGCATTCTTAAAAAACTTGTCAGAAAGCAGACCTTTTTTCTTCCCCCCATTTTTTATCTTGCACATGAACAGGCCAACATGCTGCAAATTCTCCAAGCCAAAACTGCACCCGTTCTGGATTTCTATTTATTGTGGGTTTAAAAATTTTCCACCTCTGACTGAGGCTCTTCCTGTCATCCAGATCTGCTTTTTTCCCCGAAAGGTTCCAAGCTGGTTCTTACATTTAACATGCAAAATCCCAGGCAGTTCTATTTCCACCTGGCAAAGTGAAACAAATGCAGTATCTGCCAAGGACCGTGACCTTTGGCAGTGTGAGCTGTGCCAGTCAGTGCTCAGTGACAGGAATTCCACTGCTCTGCCCCTGCAGCTGACTCTTACTAATAACTGCTGTCCTTTGGCTGGCCAGGAGGATTGGTGGAGCAGTGCCCTGTCACCCATTTGATTTTTCTTGTGATTGTGGCTTAGAAATACAGCATTAAAGTTTAGAGTCCACTGCAGTGTTCTTTCTTAGTGTTTTTTCTGGATAAACTGTCCTTTTAAAAAGAAAAGCTTTATGATACTGCTACTGAGAGATCCAGTGAAGCAAAAGAGTGCTGGGCTCTTTTTTACTGATCATCCTAAACTGTGCTTAGCAGTTGCAATGAAATCCTGCTCACTCTTAATCTGTTTGAAATTGTGACATCACAATTTATGACAATTTATTGATATTTAGCTTTAGATAATAGAGCTACAGGTAAGTCAGGCCTGAAACTGAGCAGAAACAGTTCGGCTTTCGGTAAAAGGGTAAATTTTGGGTAAATTTTCCCGGTGTAAATTCTGGTATCAGGTGTCATGTCTACTGATAATCACCATGCAGACTCCCTTTGGATTCTGAGATCTTTTTTGTTTTGCTCCTGGATCCTAAAATGCCTTTTAAAGGTCACATTATGACAAAAGTTTGGAGGAAGCAGTGTTGTTATTAATGACACCACGAACAGGTGACCTCAAGACTCCAGCATGGCACCCCTCAATAGCACTTAACTTACTCAAAAGAATCACAAACCCATCAATCAATTTGCTGTTTCAGGAAGGACTTGGGGCAGTGTGAATGCTTTTAATATTAGCAAGTTAAATCATCTTGGCTGCAGCTTTATACTCACTGCGGAACGCATTATATTAATATTCTGATTAGGTGCAGATTAGTTTTTTGATGGAATAATTCGGGTAAGTAGACTATGTCAAACACTGCAGCAAGATTACAGAGGTTCAAAGCACAGCACTTTGCATTTTTAAATGTGTAATTCCAGCTGGCATCTGTGGAGGTGGAGCGGTGTAATGCATGTATGCCAGCATTCGCGTTAGGGACTTAAAAAAGGCATTTCAACAAGGAAAACGTAGGTGTTTTGTTGTTCTTTTCTTAATGGAACTGCTGGTTTTGAGCTGCACAGTGTTTCTGGCCTGCCACGTAGTAAACCACCTCCCTGATGAACGTGTTGATACTGTGAGCATAAAAACCCTGGGATGGATGTTTTGATTGTGTGTGATTTAGAGCCGCCACAGAAGCGTCGCGTTTATCCTGACATTAAATTTCATGAGCTATAACTTGGCACAGAGCAACTCAGGGTTTTATTTCTGCCTGAAACAGGATGATGGTGCTCTGTTTTCTGAGCAGAGCCCTGCCACGAGTGAGGCAATCACCCAGCCCCCTGGGGAGACAACTCTGCTCAGCCAGCAGGAATAAGCCAGTGTTGACTTTATTCACCAAGGTAAGAGCTATTTACACAATAAAGCTGGGCAAGACTGTGTGTTTATCAGCTCTGTTACAAAGGAATCACAGATTAAATGGCTTGTGCTTGCCTTTTTTTTTTACCCCCCCCCCTTCAAAGTAGTGTTTACTTAGTGGGTTTCTGCACACCAGGCTTCGCAGCACAATCCTGCTCTCATTGTAGCAAGCAAGAATTGGCAATCAACAAATATTTCAGGACAGTTTTGCCTCAGTGACTCTATGGTTCATTTGCTGGTTGAAGATTTGGCCCAGCTGCCAGTGTTTCACCCTGAAAATGGAGAAGAGAGAGATGAATTGTTACACACACAATCTGCCAGCCACGAGCATCGGCAGCCAAAGCAGGCTCTTCAAAGTTCTCATGTTTAATTTCAGCACCACCTGTGAGACTGTAAAATGTATCCAAATAGTGCTGGGAGCACGTGAGGGAAAAGTAGATTTGGTTTTGCCCTCTTTTTGCTTTATTGGCAACAAATAAAAGGCGTGTAGGGTTCCTAAGTGTATTTAGAAAACAGATGAGATGAGAAGGAAGGGTCATTTGTGGACTGTCACATTCCATGAATTGTTTTTGATACCTGCATAGTTCTGGAGCTTTATAAAGGATGGCACAGGGTGAGTTATGCTGAATTTATGTGGTTGTTGCAGCTTTCAAGAGGAGAATAACTACAAATGCAAAGCACTGAGAGTGATGATATCAGTGTGGTGGTTTTAAATACGATTAAAATAATTTCTTCCTCCTGCTCAGTGTTTGTTCATTCCATCAGTAACCACACAGAAGTGTTTAAACTGTGTGACAAATGAATAGGTTAAAAATAATAGGTCAGCATCCATTTAATAATAAGAACTATAAAGTTGCAGCTTTCTCTCCCCCTGCCCAATTCAGAATTCTTTCATCATTCAAATGGGGTAAGGTAGGGAATAATGCTCTTACCTTTGGGTTAATAATTGGGAAAAAAAGCTCTTCATGTCTTAAAATTCCTAACTACTAAGGCACTGTGTGAAATTATATTTTCTAGTAGCAGATTTCCAGCAGTTCTCTGAAATGGCCTTTTGTAGAAGGTGTTTTTAACTCTAAATGTTGACTGTTAACTTTAAATGTTCACTGGCAACCACAAAGAAAATTGCAGACTATAAAAAAAATTAATCTATGCTGTTAGTTTATGCTAATTGACCCCTTGTTTGCCTCCTCCTTATTTTTACTGAGGAGAAAAGAGGAGGAGAAAGCAGAAGGGAGCTATGACTTCTGAATCAAACTGATGGAAACAACCAAATGGGTTTCACATTTCAGTCCCCTTTTCTGACCACCCCAGGATTTGTGCAACAATTGCTTACATAAATCTACTTTTAAACAAGATTTCACTGTTAAAATAATTACATTTTTATTTTAAACCAGTACCACCCACTGCCTAAGCTTGCCATGTGGGTAACACCATATTTTTTTCCTAAAAGCTAGCTTCCTTTGCCAAATGCATTGATGTACCTGGTACTTCAGGAAGCTCTCCACAGGCCCAGAGGAGCCAGGTGTGTCCTGTTTTGACTGGAAGGAGCCTGGTGTGTCACAAAACTGATGTGCAGGATCCAGGGTCATTCCTTTCAGTCACCAGTATCTGCTAAACCAGGCCCTCCAAAAGTAACTTTTCAGGACAATGAAGAACACAGCACTTTAGTGTCCTGGGCTCATCCATGTGGGAAAGGCAATTCAAATGAGATCTAAATAAAAGTAGAGTGTTTAATCCGAAGTAATTCACATTCAGGAAATAAAAAGTAGCAGTTTCAGATTAACTTCATATTTGAACAAGCCCTAGGAAGACTTTTCAGTGGAAATAAGGAGAAGAAGGTCTTTTCCAGCTGTGGAAGTTGTTTTGGGGCAGAGGGACAGAGTGATCACATTCACCTCCAAATACTTTACCATGTGAATTACAGGCCAAATCCTGCTGTTGCAAACATTGGAGCAGCATGCCTTCATTTGAGTTACTTCTTCAGATACTCAACCCTAGTGGAAGATGAGGGAGTTTTCAAAAATGTGAGGGTTCTTTTGACCCCACCACAGGTCAAAACACTGCAGTTGTTTGCCAGTTCTCCCTGCTGGAGGTTGCTGTCCTTCCAGCTCTGCTCAATTTCTCCCAGGCAAAGCCAAGCAGGTTATCTTAAATTGTCTTCTTTTCCCATTTGAACTGAGCCATGTGTCTCGATCTGAGACAGGCTGGAAGTTACTTCTGTGGCTTCCTCATTCCTCTTTTAGCAGGAATGGGACCTGCAGCTGTCTTCATTTGGTGATGACAGTGCTTTGAGTATTCACTGCTGACCAAAATGAGGGGTCTCTGCAGGACCTTTCAGACCATTCCCTTGGATCAGCTTTTAGAAGACTGTTAATTTCCTCCATGAGAAATGGAATAGCAGATGTAAAATAATTAAATTCAGTGTCTGGATAGTTTGTTTGGCTTCTTTTCATCCATACTGCACTGATAAATAAAGTTTTAGAAAGCCCTACGTCAGGGCCAGGGTGCAGGGAAGGGAATGTGCATTTACAGTAATGAATGCTCCTGTCTGGGTGTGTTATTTTACAGCACAAACAACTTTTGTGTTTTACTGCATGCTTTAAGCTACTCTGAATGTTTTCATTTAGAAACCATGCCCTCTGTGTGATGAAGCAAAAGAAGTTCTTGAGCCATACAAGAAAAGGGTAATGTATGGAAATGCTGTATATGTTTTCTATATGGAAAGAACAGTTAATCAGGATTCTTTCTTTGTAAAAAGAAAATTGCTTGGGTTTATTTGCATCTGTTACTCTTTCATGGATGACCTCTTCAAGGCTATTTCAGCACTGATTTACATAAAACTCATTATCCAAAAGCATTTTGTGACAATGCTACAACTATTGGCAAACTAAACCAATATACACCGTGTTGCAATAGTTCTTGAAAACACCCCTTTTGTAAATACTGTTGCCTTTTCTGAAGGATGAGTTTGCAACTTTTAGGAGGCAGGTAATGCTATTATTGAGGAAGGATGTGACTAAGTGGGGCTTGGAATATTTGAACTATGTGTGACTGCAGTTTTTGCTGCGCTTCAGCCAGGTTTTGATCTCTGTGTTGAAGGATGAAACCTTTAATGGAAGCATTAAGAGCTGTTGCACTCTGCTGCCTGTTTTGTTCCCAGCTGTGTGTTTGTTGAGGTTGCTGCCCACAGGAGAGTGGCTCTGCAGTAGAACAAGTGGAACAAGAATATTCTGGGGTAGGGAGAGAGTCCCTTGTAGAGAGGCAGCCAAGGGTTGTGGCTACATATATTTTGTACTCAAAAAAGCAGGCCCTTCTCTACAACACAAAGAATAAATTCACAGTCTTCAAGAAAACAGCCTTGCATTTCTGAGGAAAACACTGATCAGAAGACAAGCAGATACTGTTTTTCAGTGTCCAACAGGAACTGACATACTTCTTTTCTGCCACAGTTCATTCTGCAGGAGGTAGATATTACCCTTCCCGAGAACTCAGCGTGGTATGATAAATACAAATATGACATACCTGTTTTTCACTTCAATGGGAAGTTCCTAATGAAGCATCGGGTCGACATTCAAAAGTTTGAGGACCGACTTAGGAAGCTGGAGTTGCAAAGCGAGGGAAGCCAGTGAAGAAAATGCTGCTGCTCTGAAGCAGATCTCAAAGGGGAAAAGGTCTGTGAGAAAAAAAAAAAAACAAAAACATCTTCATTACCTGGCCTTAAATGTCTTAGGACATAAGAGCAGGAAAGACTTGAGTGACTTGTGTTCTATTTTGTATCAATCACCCAGCCCAGCTGCACCACCTATTCTGTGCCATTTCATTTGCTGCTCTGTTTTGGGCTGTTTTTTCACTGACAGAATAAAAGCTGCTCTGTAACAGCAGATGAAGTAAACTCTGTTTGTTTGGGGCTGGCATGGCCACCTTTGGGTATCGGGGGGTGGCAGAGGGGTGGTTTCTCCCAGAAGCTGCTGGAAGCTTCCCCTGTGTCCAGCTGAGCCAACACCAGCCAGCTCCAGGATGGACCCCCTGATCAGGGAGAAAGAGACAATCTTTAATAAAATGACCACAAACCTCATTCTCCATCTCCAAACGGGAGGAGAAGATTGAGTGAAGCTGAGCCTGGGAAGAAGGGAAGGGTGGGACAAAGGAGTTTTTAAGATTTCGTTTTTCCTTGTCTTTATCCTACTGTGATTTGATTGGTAATAAACCAGTTTCCCTAAGTCAAGTCTGTTTTGCCTGTGACAGTGATCAGTGACTGATCTCTCTCTGCGTTCTCATCTCAACCCACGAGCCTTTTATTGTATTTTCTCTCCCCTGCCCAGCTGGTGAAGGGACTGGTAGGGTGACTTATGTGGGTGTGTGGCACCCTGCCAGGATCAGTGTTTAAAAGATGATTAGCAGGTGTAGCCTGTAGATATGTAGGAGACTTTTTTAAAGAAGTCTGTGAGCCTATCCTAAATGATAATTTGAAATGCAAAAGGGGGCATTTGCTGTGAAGTTAAAAGGACACTTGATTAAAGACCACACACTCTCACTGGAATTCTAACTACAGAATGGTCATCACAAGTGGATACAACTACTGCTAACACCTCACACTGAATAGTTTATTTGTCACATTTCAGTTCTGTCTGCTGCACAGCTGCAAATCCATTTTTAATGTGGCAAGAATGCCATTTTATCAAGGATTGCTGCAGTTACTTCAGAGCCCCATAGGCGATGCAGGTCTGTGAAGGAGACAGAAAGCCCAATTTAAACATATTTGCAGGAAGAAAAGAATGACATATTCAGGAAAAGTCAACCATTTTAGGTTAAATAGTCTGGAATAGACTGGAGAAAGTTGCTGGTATTTTTCATGTACTTAATAGAAGAAGCTAATCCCTACCTGCTGCATTTCTGTTTTTCTTATCGTGATGATATTCAGTCTTTTCTTCTCACTAGGAATTTAAGCAGGTTCACTTGACAGATGTGTCTTCACTGAGGGAAGAATCCAGATGCAATGCCTGGCTGGAACAGCAGACTGAAATACGACAGGATTCACGGCAGACTCTGAAGTTTTGGAGTATGGTTTAATAAGAAGTCAGCTGATCTGCTGTGGGGAAAATGGGATGTTCCTTCATGGCCTCACCCTGCAGTGTCTTTAGCATTTGACAGATAATTTGCAATTTGGTATATTCCCCAAGATGAGAAAGTTCTGGGGACTGGGGAGTAAGAAATTAAAACTAACTTCCAGCTTAGCAGCTTCAGTCCACTCAGGTTGGGGTCTGAAACTATCCAAGATTTCCCAGGAGGGAGACTTGTGCCATTTTTATAGCAGAGAACTTGAGGTAAGTTCAGCCAGATCGTGGATCCACAGTATTTTTCATCACCATTAGCAGAAGAACAGGGCTCTAGAGACAAAAGCTTCCATACTTTCTGCAGTTCATAATGCTACAGTCAAACTTCTAATTGTTCCATGGGGTTACTTTAAAATAAAAGATCTGAATTACCTCCGTATCAGCAAGTTCCACTTGCTTTTCTTCTATGATTTCTATGGTTTCAGAGGGCTCAGGTTTTTCCCTTACTGAAGTTTTGTGATAAGAGGGCTGCATAGAGCACTTGTCAACCATAGCTCAAGTGCTCTTCTAAAATATAACAGCATTATCTCAAAGATAGGGACAACGGAGGTCATGTGGACTCACCCCATTTCCCAAAATATATAACAGACAGAGACTGGCAGAGCTCTCAGAGGGAATTTTGCCTTGGTTTTATTTTAGTAAGGTCTGTTCTGGGAAGGGGGGAAAAAAAAAAAAAAAAAAAAAAAAAGAAGTTAAAACCAAACTTCTTAATCATTTTAGAATTGATGAATCCCTTGCTCCTTTTTCTGTCAGACTGGAGATTTTCTTCTGTAGCCAGTGCCAGATACTTTTTTCCCATTTATTTTGTAAAGTGAATGATAACAGGATTTCCATAATAGCTTTTGACCATTGCATAGCTCTTATGAGTGAGATGGAGCTTTTCCATTAGGGCTGTGCTGCCAGAAACCTTCCAGTGGTTTTACTGTTCTACGCTTTAAAGAGAATGGAAACTCTCTTTTCATCAGTTTGGACACAGGGACGGGGAGGTGGGAACGTGTCAATAGGGAGTGTTGGTGGCACAGCCTCATCTTCATTTTCCAAAAGCAAGGAAGGATGCATCATATATAAATTTGAGGGGTTTTTTTAAAATTCTTTTTGAATGTAGGAAGTGCAGCAGTCTCCCAGCACGTGCATCTCTCTAATCAAATGTGTTAAAGTATAATAACAGATATTAAAATGAGAAGGTATATGCCCCTGCTGAATATATATTTATGGAGCAATATGCAACTCTGTGAAAACTGGCAATTTACTCTTTTGACTGTGAGTATTGGCAAGAGTACAAAACCTTGTAATGCACTATCTCTGTAGTAAAAGGAAGCTTGAACACAAGATGGATTTATTTCCCATTTCTGGCCAATTAAAAAGCACATAGATAATGTCCAATCTTCTTCCAGTAACTATAAAAAAAAAATAAATACCCGCTGGGCTTGCTTTCTTTTGTGTTCTGCTTCTCTGACTCTTTCTTTGTGCCTTTAAAATGTACACAAGACGTGGAAGAAAATGTCTCATTTCTTCTAGACACAGCACTCCAGGCTCCGTGTCTTCCTGTCCAACTGTGATACACAATCTCAGATTCAGCTGTAATCACATGGCCATCTGGATTAACCACACGTGGAAATAAACAAAGCCCCATGTGCAAGTGTTTACAAGTTTCCTTTTTTTTTTTTTTTTTAAATACAATTTTTGTTTTTTCCCTTTTTAAATTTCAGTGTCAGTATCACTTTCTGGGCAGTTTTGCTTTATAATCTACCAGTAACATCTCTCTTCTTTTCCATCATGCCCTGCTGGCAAGAAGCCTCCATCCCATTCTTGTGAAGCTGCTCTACCTTGTAGACCCTGAGTTTTTGAGAGTCATGAACAGTTTCCAGTTAGGGAACTCCAGCTGAATAAAGGCTTGAGCTGCTTTTGGCAAAAAAATCATGGTAAGAACCACAAAACCATTCTCTGTTCTCTATCCTCACCTCTTGTAGCACTTCAGATCAAATCCTGGTTCCTGGTCTGGATCTTCCAGAGGGAAATGACATATGACCAGGCCATCCAAAAAGAGTTCCTGCAGGAGACAAATACTCTCAGCTCTCTGTCTTGTCCATGGGATGCACTGCAGCAACTGAGGGCACTCCAGACCTCCTTCATTTTCCTTCAGTGCTGCCTTCTGGGGCACATATGGTTGTCTGGAAGGATAAAAACTAAATCCCTCCCAGCTGTACACAAATCTCACTGAAAAGAGGCACAACTGCATCCACCCACTTCTCCTGGGGAGAAGGCAAAAGAACAATGGTGAGAAATGAGAAAAGTGAGAAAGAAAGTGGATTACTGCAATGCACCTAGACACCAGGTCAGGGTGTGCAAAATTCAGGGTCTTGCCACAGGCCAGGTAGTTTCAGCCTGCCACCTAAAGAGCTGAGACTTGGGCCATGTAATCTTGTGTCAGTCCAGTCCTTTCCCTTCCTTTCTCCCCTTCCTGAGCCCCTCCCAGGAATATTTAACCTAGGGACCAGTTCAACAAGGTGATACAGCTGAGGGGTTTTTTCCTTGAAGGTTTTTGTGGGGTTTTTTTGTTTTGGTTTGGGTATATTTTTTATTTTTATTTGTTTGGTTTTTGTTGTGTTTTGGATGGTTTTTGTGGGTTTTTTTTGGGTTCGGTTTTGCTTTGATTTGGGTTGGGTTTTTTTCCTTAGTATGACATTCCCTGGAGATCTGCTCCCAGAAGGGTGGCACAAACCTCCCCATCCAGGGGAGAAAGGCACGGTGAATCAAACCACCAAACCACATTGATACACACAGGTTTGATTGCGACACTGGGCACTAATTCAGGCTCCTTCTCCAGGAGGTGAGGCATTTCAACAAGATCCCCGAGGTGCCAGGAGCTGAAGCTGCGGATCTGTTTGCAAGGCTGAGATCCCAGCGACTTCACTGATGTCCCTGCTGCATTGAGCACCTGCATTTCTGCTTGATTTACCTTACCTGCCTCCTGCTAAGGTGTGCTGGGTGACTTGGCCAACCCATGCCGGGCTCTCCCTTTTTATTTTGATGCACAGGCAGGACCTGTGTGCTGTCTCCACTTCCACCTGGAAGTGCAGCTGTGTCGCCGGGGGTGAACATGCAGGTGCAGGTAGAGGTGGGCAATTTTTTTTTTTGGCTTCACTGGCAGGAGAGCAAACCAAGGACAACTCCTCCCTGTCCCTGTGATGTGCTTTCTAGTAAAATTTTAGCACCTCTTGCTGCTTTAATGGGCAGATGTATTCAGGGAACACAGCAATTTTATGAAATACCATCTCAGCCCTGCAATAGTCCTTTATCTCGGAACAAAGCGAGCACGACAGCGGCAGCGAAATGCCGAACTGTGGTTAGGCAAGGAAAAACATTAGCCTTGGGGTTTATCCACCGCTATCTTTGGAACTCGGAGCTGTCGTTTTTGATGCAGCTTCAGCTGGGTCTCAGCGGCTCGGACGCTCCCACTGACATCAGCACCGGAGCATCTCCGGAGGCGCAGCCGGCTCCGGGCAGGCTCCTTCCCTCTCGGACCGTGGGGACGCGGCTCTTCTGAGCTCTTTAACTCCCGTGCGACGAGGAAACGATGGATTCCTTCATTCCCCGCACTGCTCCAGGCTCGCAGGGAGCTGTCGCTACCCGGCCGCTCCTTTGTGTCGCTGCTGCTCCGCGGGTACCGCCGGGGGAGGAGGAGGAGGAGGAGGAGGAGGAGGAGGAGGTGGAGTTGATGGCAGCGAGGTCCAGTGGCCACAGCCGAGCCCGAGGCACATTTTGGCTGCTTCGTCCGTGTTTTTGGAAGGACAGCTGAGGGTCCGGCTGGAGGAATAAGTAAGTGTGACTGGGCACACGGGAATGACAATTCGCGGCTCTGGGTGGGCGGAGGGGGTTTGCGTTTTCTGTGCGGGAGTAAATTGCTGCTGCTCTCCTCTTCTTCTTCTTCTTCCTGCTATTATTGCCATCATCATCATCATTATTGTCGTTGTCATTTGCAGTAGTTGAAGTGAGGT